ATTGTGTAGTAATAAAGAATATCTGAAGCCAAATCATTTCACTTTCACTCACTTTGTCCCTTAACACTCGGGGTTGTTGGGGCACCACTGATGACTTTGCAACCAGCTCTGTCCATCTTTCCCAGTTTTCCACCACCCTCTGGGAGTTGATGAACTCTAGGCCTGTCCACTCTTTAATATTGTCTTCCAACCTCTTCTTCTGTCTGCTTCTTCTTTTCCCTCACAGTGCCAAGCCAGATGACTATGAGATGTGACCATACCACTTCAGTTGTTGTTGGGTTGTTTTGTTTTTTTTACAGTGATCAAGAGATCTTCATATGGTCCAATAGCTTGTTGGATCTTATTGCAAACCTCTTCACTGGTAATATGGTCTTTATATGAGGTGTGCAAGATCTTTCTGTAGCAACTCATTTCAATGGCCTGTATTCTTCTTTCTAGATCTGCTGTGAGGGTCCAAGTTTCACAAACATACAAAAATATGGATATGACAGTGAAGTGCAACAGCCTAATTTTGGAATTAAGATTGATACTGTTGTTGTTCCATGTTGGTTTCAACCTTGCCAGTGCTGTTGCTGTCTGTGCAATCCTGGAAAGTATCTCAGGTTTGGAACCCTCCTCTGTGACAATTAATCCCAGGTATTTGAAACTTTTCACTGTTTCAAGTCTTTGTCTGCGTACATTGATCTGAATACTAATGTTGTTGTTGATCATCAGTTTAGTCTTCTCGGCAATGATCTCCATACCGTAAACTGTAGATATTTTGTTGAGGCATTCCACTAAGCTGGCAAGTTCTTGCTCTTCTCCTGCTAAGCCATCCATGTCGTCTGCAAAGTGAAGGTTGGTGGTTGGCATGCCTCCAATGCTGACAGTACCTGCATGATCTTCCAGGGCATCAGTCATAATCCTTTCTAGAAAGATGATAAAGAGGGTGGGTGAGAGTAGGCATCCTTGTTGAACTCCAACCGTTGTTTGAAACCAGTCCCCTAAGCTGCCATTTATGAGGACTGCACTCATGGCCTTGTTATAAAGGTTTTCCATGACTCAAACAAGACTTGCACTGATATTGTATTTCCTCAAAGGCCTTGTTCAAGTCTGTAAAGATAAGATAAAGGTCTTGTTGATGTTAGAGATGTTTCTCACAAAGGATCCTGAGACTGCAGATCTTTCCTGTGGTGCTTCGTTCTGCTTGAAACTATGCCTGTTCTTCAGCAGTGATATTTTCCACTTCGGGTTTGAGTCTGTTTAATATGATCTTTAACATGACTTTACTTGGGTGATTGATGAGGCTGACTGTACGGTAGTTTTGGTACAGCTGTAGGTTGCCTTTCTTGGGAAGCATGATGACCATAGACTTGGTACAAGGGGGACCATTCTCCTGTCTGCCAGATCATATTGCAGATTGTTGTGAGAGCAGTGACCAAGGCTTCTCCCCTAGCCTGAACCAGTTCTGCTGGTATGTTGTCAACTAAAGCTGATTTCCCTTTCTTCAGTGATCTCGCTACATTTTCTACTTCTTCCGTAAGTATAGGACAGTTGTCTTCTTCAGTTGTCAGAGAGCAGTGTAGTAACGTTAGGTCTCCCTTAGTCTTGTGGCTATATAGTTCTGAGCAGTAATCTGTCCACTGATGTTAGATCTCTTATTCTTCTACGAGGCATTTTCCCAATTTGTCTTGGATGGTAGTGGTTCACCCTTGTTTTACAGTTGTTAAGTCTTTTACAAGTTGGTATGCTTTTTAATGCTGTTCTTGTTCAAGTTTTCTTCAATTTCATTGCACTGTTCTTCCATCCAGTTCTATTTGCTTTTTTCATGCCTTTTTTAATTTTGTTCTCGATTTCTCTGTATTTTTGTACTCCTTCAGGATTGCCTTTTCTCCTTTTCAGTTCTCTTCTTTTGTCAGATAGGTCCAGAATATCTGGTGTGACACAGGATTTCTTAGTTGGATGGTGCTTTCAAAGGATCTTGTTGG